ACATGATAAATATTTTTCCCCGAAGAAACAATAAAGAAACAAAAAATTTCTACTCTACAGCAATAGAATAAAAGAAGCAGAGCACATAAAAAGATCAAAAAGTTACGGATACTCACCCATATTTATTCTTCACAAGGATTGGAATTTATTCTCCCCACGTAACAGGATTCTGTTTATTTGGCCCTGCTATATTATTTAACACCCTTAAACATATATCTTGTTGCCAAATAAATACAAAACATATAAAAAGAAGACGAGGCTCAAAAGTCAATTAATTACAATTATGATCCGGTAAATCACTTCACTTTAAACTCTCGACACGATCCGTAACCCCCTCGACAAGTCTCCCATCTCGACTCAAGAGTTGGGGGCTTAATGATATACCTAATTGGGCCAACCCAATGGGCCCCCTAATTTGCCTAATAATTGGGCCCACTACACAAAGCCCAGTCACCTACAAAATAAGGCTTAGGCCCAATTAAGTAAACTCAACCCATTCAACGACATATAAATAGAAGTATCTACTCACTTGTTAAGGTACGTTCTTTTATTCACAAGCAAGCTAGAATTTTATTCTTTCTACCATATTCACGATCCGTACATCTGCCTTGAGCGTCGGAGGGGTTTCCGCCGGATCAACCCCCGGCTTAGTTCACGTGTGTTTATTTCGCAGTGACCTCAGGATCATCCAGTTGTCAATCTACTGATCCGCTTTGCTCTCCCAGCTCGTTTTCTGCACTATCCTAGGTGATCTAAGTAATTAGCATCATATATATATATATATATATATATATATATATATATATATATATATATAAGAAAAAAACAAAGGAAAAAAAGAAGGCAGCTCGTCGAACAACTAAATTTGGGCTCGAGCTTGAGTTCGAGCCTTTGTCGAGCCGACTCGTCGAGTTCGCGAGCCGGCTCGACTCGTTTACCACCCCTACTTTGGAACAACGAGGCCAAAAGTGGAATCGAACTAAATACGAGGGACGAAAAGTGTAATTCCCCAATAAATGTCCCTTAGAGGATGGTAATTTCGATAGGGACTAATACAAATCAACCTAAACTTATTTATGTCCAGGTCTATCGTTGTAACTCTTTTACAATCTAGATAGAGTTTGGAGAAAGATGTGTAAATGATTAAAATACCCTTATCACATCTAATATACTTCAATTTTATTCCTTTCATCTTAATTTAACTCTGATTTGATTTTAATTTCACAAATTATTCAATTTTGACCCCTAATCCGATTTTAACTTTCATTTTGACCATTGCCAATATTGACCTTTTGTTTATATGGAATAAACACAACATGTAATACGAAACTGGAAAAAAACATTTGGTAGCGATTTCAAGATACTCAACTCCCAGTTCGTGAGGATCACATCAGGTTCGATACTATCTAATAATTATCTCAAACAATTGAAAGTCCATTCATAGGCGTCTGCATCTTCATTGGACATAAATGCAACAACAATTATGAAGTTATTCCTAACATGAGTAGTCACAATTATTTCCAACAGAGGCCCATACCTACATCAAAAACATTATGCATAAAGTTCGTTTATCGGCCATAAATACAAGGGATAATTACAATTATGGTCCCCACAATATTTACCGTCGTCAACAAAATACACTCTAATGTGGTCATATTTTAACACATTGAGTACCTCCGTCTGTTTGACCGTCAATAAGTAACGCTCAACGGTGAATTAGTGCTGAATTTGAGATTTTTCTTTGAGAAAAATTGCAATCAGACCCATGTATTATTTCAGAATATTCTAAAAACCCCTAAAATTTTATCCAAACCTAATTTAACCCCAATTTGAATAATTAACCAGTTTCGACCCGTGACCCCGATTTTTACCACCATCACCGCTGACCTTTTATTTTTTAACTTTTTTTCGGCGTTACTTTTTTTTTTTGGCTGTCGTTCACCAACATTGGATTGCCGGTTAACAAAGTTGACTTTTTTCTTTTTCTTTGATTTTTTTTTTCCCGATCAACAAAGTATTATTACTGTATATCATTAATATCTAGCATCGTAATATTAAAATTTCAGACTTCTAACAAAGTTTTATTTGAAAGTTTTGGACCAAAATACAATTTAAAAAATTACTAAAAATTCGTAATTTGTTCCTCTCAAAATTTTCTTCGTGAATCGCCTGCGCATCGCAAATTTCTTCCCATAGAAATATGAGGAAGATGAATTAGGCATATGCGGAATAATTTGAAAATGAGATAACCACTTTAGTACAATGGCTTTTGGGACCAACACCGGTTGTTGAATTTTTTTCTTAGTTTTGTCCCGTCGTTGAGCAACGTTGACTTTTTTATTTCTTTTATTTTGACTTTTTTATGATATTATTTTTTCCGTAGGTTATCAGTTTGAATTTTTTTTTAATATATTTTTACCGCTACTCAACAATTAAAAAAAAATAACGCAATTAATACGACATTTAACATCGGTCAATGGCGGCAAAAAAGAAAATCAATCAAGAAAAGTCAACCCAGTGAAAAAGAAAGTCAACGTCGGAAAAAAATCGATCCGATAGATGCGGTTAAGTAAATTAGCAAACCGCACCTGCTCAAGTACACCCAAACTCTGCGGTTAGGGTGTGGCGGGTTAGCGGCCGGGTTGAACAACTTTCTCCTAGTGCTTTTATTTTTCTACTATTCTCAATGCGTAAAATTCACCCACAATCAGACATATATATATGGTTCCTTCTTAGGACAAAATCCTAGGTAACGTTTACCGTATTGCTTGAATTTTTTGCACACTGCACTCTTTTTTTTGTTTTTCTTACAAACTCTCGCATGGTTTTTCATACGAACTCTTCATCACTAGAGCACCATCAATGGTCCGTACGCCGTTTTATGAAAATGAATGGTCGAATTAGATTGAAAAGAAAAATTTAAAAGATGGGAAATACATATTTTAAGCAGATGAAGAGGACGGAAAAAAGAATGAAAAAAATGGATTAGCCCTAGATTTACTTGAGTATATATATCATAAGAGCGGGCGGACCGGGTTATCATAATCAAACCAGCAAATCGACCCACACCATTCGGGTTTCCAATTTTCAAACCTGCTTGCGGTCAATTAAAAGGGGAAAGCGCGGGTAGCGGGCGGATTGGCTCGGGTTAGTCGCATGGTTCGCCGGCAGGGCCGGCTCAAGCCCATATGGGGCCCTAGGTGAAGTAATAAATTTGGGGCCCTTTACATTAAATTTTTAATATAAAATTAAATATTTTGGATATTTTTATTTTAGTTTAAATACACGTATTAAAATTATTAATTAGTATATTATTTTTTATATAAAATTCAAGCTATATATATTAATATTTTTTTAAATAAGAAAATATAAATTCTATTTCGTATTTGGGATAGTAAACATAATTTTTGGGGCCCTAACTATAATACTGAAAAGTTGGGGGCCCTAGGCATAGGCCAAAGTTGCCTATAGCCTAGGGCCGGGCCTGTTCGCCGGAACGGAACAGTGCATTGTCGCGGACATAGCCGTTCCAGTTCCGTTGCAACGTCACGGCCAGAACGGATACATTTTAATTAAATTGCTAAAAAAATACAATATATTTCAAATATGTTTTTAATAACAAAATTACAATTCAATAATATGCAAAATATTATTACAATTTCAAAAATAAATATTACAAAGAATATTATGAAAATACAAGCAATATTAATACCACGTACAATATCAAGCTGGAACTGTGTAAGCTATAATTGAAGAGTGAGGCCAAACATCCATGATTCAGGGAAATCTCCATTCTATAACGTGGCTACCACCATCTTATTACTTTTTTTTTTTTTCTTTTATGTTTTTTTTGCTTAGTTTTTTTAGTCAAATTTGTTTTTTTTTTCAAATTTTTTTTTCCTGTTCCGGCTGTTCCGACCGCGTCGCAGCCGTACCGTGGCTCCGTCTCGCCCATACCACCGTTTAATGGGCATTCCGATGAGTCACGGTCCGTTCTGGTTACGGATTCCGGAACGGAGGGCACCGTTCCCGTTCCGGCGAACCATGGTTGGTCGGGTTTATGTTCACCCTTTTGGCCATATTGATAATTGATGTGTTCTAACTAAAATATTTGTCAACAAATGAATTAAATCGCACTACAACCGGTAAAAGTTGAAGTGGTAATAGCAATCCCCTTTCGTGTTTACCAAGAAAAGCCACACGAGATTTTAAGCGACTCCAATGTCTTAATATATATGTACGCCATATATATTACTCTAGAAATTGTACCCAAATTATCATCTTTGAATTTTTGTTATTGAAACTCTAAATTTTGGTCTCCATTGGTAGATGATATATAGATAGTGAGAACCTTTGTGCCGCCTGCCACAACAAGTAAAATATTTCTCTGGTTCATAGAATTTAACTGCGTATAAACCAAGGTCAAGATCCATGATAGCTAGATTGTCGTTAATTTTCCGAGCTAGTTGTAATCTCCAACCCAAATGTGGTATAGTTTTCGTTAAGCCAATAGTATGAACTATAAGAGCTTTCTTCCAAGGATCTCTTAAAGCTCGTAATTCATTTTATGTGAAAGAAATTTGCGGAAGAGACTATTTAGTCCTAAACATCCGGAATACTCTATGGGATAATGTCAACTTCCTTAATTATATTTGCGTACTGCAAACTAGAACCTAGGAGAAACTGAAACTACTACTCTTGGTTGAGTGGCACCTCTATCATATTCTTGTACTGGGAAGCATGAGTTCGATCCCAGTTGTGTGCGTGCTTGTGTTATAAGGCCATTGAAAATCAAAAACAAAAAATTGCCCTAGGAGAAACTGTAAGGAAAGAGAGAGAGACGAGTAAAGATCACACCTCAACAAACTAACGAGTACATAACAAAAAATAGGATGGTTTATGGACAGTTTCATTACTCAAATTGTTTTCTATTTTCTTTTTATTTTTCCGCAATGCAGATCAATGACTTGAACAACAAAGAAGTAGAACATAATGAGATAGAAGTTCAACATCTCAAACGTAGACCTTTTTATTCCCACTAAACCTCACGAACAATTTCGCGGAGGCCCACAGAGAATGTTGTTACATGGATATTGCCTTAGCAACATACTTACAACTAATGTTACTATAGTTTACACATTTATACAAATAATGAATAGAGATTGACAGCTGCGGTCACGCTACATCCACAGTGTTTGTTGGGAACGATTATTAATCTAGTGTTAGCTTTAACTAAACCCAATCAACTTATCTGCAGCCATTGTCTGAATAACGTAAACCGTCTTTGGATTCCAACTCATTGACATTGTTTAGAACTTTTTGAATCTTGTTTGACAAGGACTGATTGTGCTCTTCAATATGCCCAACAATCATATGCAGTTGCCTCTTGTAGGTAGCAGCTTGCTTTTCAGAAGTTTCAGCTCGGTTTTTTGCAATTGCTAGTTGTAACGAAAGTTCCCGAATTTTCTCGTGCTCACTCTGCACAAGCAAAAAAAAAATAACATAAGTGATTTTCCAGAAAAAAAAAAAATTTGAATAAAATATGGCAAGATAACTAGAGACAATATATATCCAAACAACATGAATTTTTTTTTTTTTTTTTATGATGGTGCTCTTATCTTGTGGTGGGGGGGGGGGGGGGGGGGGTAGGGGTTCAAACCCATTCGATTCCTTTCGTGATCATGTTTCAATGTTTGAAGTATAGGAACGAAAATGTTAAATACTCCCTAACCCACAGTTACTAAATGTGACAAACTTCTACAAGTTTCAAAGATTGTTTCCACAACCACATCTAGGAATCACAAGTCAAAACAGATAATGTTTTTTTTTCCCCCTTTCTCAAAAGGCAAATGTCTCACCGTTTGTCACTGATCAAATAGAGAATGAATCAACATTGTTTCAGTACATGAATACAAGCAGGAAACACCCTTGGTTCTTGGGTTACTACCACAAAAATTAGGACCAAATAACGAGCTAATTCTTTAAGCAGTAAATATGAAGGAAAACTGAACGAAACTGCTGCATATGAAAAAATGGTGACAGAAAAATAATGGATGACAAATTTTAATGATACATAAACTTGTAACACGTGAATCAAAATGTTATTCTCTGGAAACAGAGATCAAAACGGCTAATGGCTTATGGAACCTAGACGACATCCACTTGCATATACTTCAACCAAAATTAGTTCCTAGTCTACAAAAGATATGAACAATTGTTGATTATAAAGAAACAATATGGGCACTTGGCTTTCAGCCATCATAAAACAGATTTACTTTTAGCTATTAGAAAACCAAAGACAACTTCTAACAACTATTATCTTCAATACTTGCAAAAAGACAAATGCTGTCAGCATTTGGACAGAAGGATTTCAAATCCATAATAATAAATCCATTGAGTTCTGTCCATCACTGTATTTCCAGTTTTCCATGTTTGACTCCTACTGATAGATCCATACCCCTTTATCATTGAGTATTGAAAAGGTTTATAGTTGTTATAGATTGGATTAAGGGTTTAGGGTTTAAGATGAACTTAATAGATATTATCTATGGCTGAACATTTATATGAAAGAAAGTTTTATACTATCTTGAAGATGACAGATTCCCACCCTATCTGTAGTGAAGGATGACGAGGATCAAGCTCAATACTCAATTTAGTTTTTTGCACAGAAATATTATTAGAGATAAAGTATATATGAATAGAGAGGCTAATATTTACATTGATAAAAGGATCTAAATGAGACAACTTTGTTCTTGAATTCTATGGAATACAACTTTAAGCAGACGCAATATCGGCTGATTGAGAAAACCGTTAGATGGGGAAATGAATGCAAAAAGTTCCTAAAGTTTCAATAAAAGTCTGAAACCTGCTTTTGACAGTCTCTAATTCATTCCACTTTCGGCAATGAATGAAATATTTATCTGCGTATGTTATTTTCCTTAATATTCTTTTCTTACTTATCTTCTCCAGTTATACTTCATCACCGGAAACAATATTTAACAACTCATACCCAGTTTATAACCGCAAGACACGAAACTGTACAATTTCCTGGAAACTACTATTCACAGACACACATAGGACAACTTCAAAAGTACATTCTGTAAGACTAGCAAACCAGCCTGGCATGTTCTGACTGACCTCTTTGACCATCTTGAAGCCCTCAAACTGTTCTCAGTCACCAACTCAATTAAATTTTATAAATTATAACCTAACTCTGCTTCTGTCTTTCTTATAACAAAAAAAATTAAAATCTTTAGATCTAACATAAAATTTGTTCTTCCACGTGAGGTAAATGAACAAGGAGTGGTTTCAGTAGAAAACAAAAGTTGGCCATCAATGCATGCATACATCCTCTAAAGAAACAATATTCCACCAAATAGCACTTGCTAGCAAAAAGGTGACAACACAAAGATTTTTTATTGAATAAAATCACTACTTTCTTTCACATAACAACTCTAGTCTTGTCTCCATCCATATTATCCAAAACAGATAATGATATGGTTGGCAAGATTTTGGGTCAACATTTAAATTTTTATTTTGGGAAAAGAACTTGAAAAGAAACTAATGTCTTTTTTGTGTTTTCAAAAGAGAGGATTTACATTGTAGTAGTCAAGTCATGTTTAAACATGATGGAAAAGAGTATTTTGGAAGAGAAATTTGAAAAATAAAAAGATGTTTGTTTGTATTTTTTTTTTAATGAAGCGTTTTCTACCGTCAAATCTTGTTCAAATCATGCATGAAAGAAAGAAGCTTGCTTTTTGGAAGTTTTTGGGGGAAGTTTTTGAAAAGCATAACAAACATAATTCACTTTGGGGGAATAATTTGAATTTTTTTACAAAACATATTGTTCCATATGCCCAGATCTTTGTCTTCGCCATACAGTATCCCGGAAAGGCAACTAATCTTTAGGGTCCATTTGGATGGTGGGATTTCAAATCCATAATAACAAATCCCTTGCACTTGTTTGGATTAAGGGATTTGCCAAGGTATTTCAAATCCACACCCATCCTTTTTAGTTGTTTTTGGAGCAATTGGGGTGGATTTCAAATGACTCCAAATTGGAGTCATTTCAAATCGTTCCTCCAAATCCCTTCCCCAAATCAAATCCTTCCATCCAAATGGACCCTTACTGTACTTAGCATTACCCAATGCACATTATAAAGCACTTGCCACTTCGTGATCCAAAAAATCATTTTTGGTTTCCTTTCTTCTTTGGCACAGCAAGCGACAACTAACAAAGTTTTGCTTTCTGATCACGTAGAGGGTGATTCAAACATCGGAACTTGCTGTTACTATAGTTATCAAGAATATGAAGGAACTACTGGGCCTTTAAAGGAGCCTATTCGGGCACTACAAAATAAGTGTAGCTTAGGAAGATCATTAGACATTTACTTCTGGATATTCCTATGGAATGCTCGTTTGTATAACACATTGACATGAGCTTGTCCCAGTGATGGCCAGATTCAATTTCGTAATCTTAAAAATGAAACCTTTGATTGTTTGCCCGTAAAGAGTAATTCAAGCAACCAATAACCATATCAAAAATAATATTTGGCAATGTTGCAACCTTATTTATGCATACAAAGAGCCATTATTTTCGCAACGTGCAGGCAATCCTTTTGTTTCATGTTAGGCATCCTTCACTTTTTTTTCTTATCGATAATCTTCAACAACTTGGTACTACTAGGTAGAAACTCAATTTGCCCACCAATGCAGGTTTTTAAATAATGAAAAAAGTCAAAAGTTGGTATTTCTGTCAGCAAAATGTACTGATGTACCATAACAAAACCCCCATAACAAAGAAAACATGTAGCACCAAAGTCCAGGTTTCAGTGGACAAAAAAGAAAAGTAGAGAACTATCTTCCTTCTACCCTTTTAGGAACACCCAATTAACTTTAATGAAGGTATATAAATAGTCAAGGTTATATTCATTTTAAAGCGCCCACATTACACGCAACATACCACTTACTTTTCCTTACGACAATATACCATATAGTGAGATTCATGTGAGGCCTTTCATAGTGATCGTAGTACATGAGTTTTAGCAAACTCTAATACTATTATGTCAGCATAGAGGTATCATACATCTATCCGTTTATATCCGGACAAGAAGATAATTTATTTCAGTGAGAACATATTATCAAGGATGAAAATATGAGAAAAGGGAAGAATACTAACCAATGACTCTAAAGCACCGCCACTTCCATAAACATTTGCAGCTAAAATAGCTTGGCCAGATTTCACCAATGGCTTTGCATATGGTGGGGCCATTTCATGATTGTGCTCCTTAACGAATCTTGAAACCTTCCATTGGCCACTTTCATCGCATGCAAAAGATATCATTGCTCTGCATCCTGTTCTTGTTTCGGGCTTTTTGTAACCAACACCACTACTTGTGTCTGCTTTATCATCCTTGGCCCCTTCCTTCGAACAACAATAAGTTTTCGATCTTACCCTTTTCGTTCCCATGAAATAGTATTGCTTCCCCCTCCGGACATTAAACCCCAAGGCTTGTGCGTAATCACAGTATAGCATGTATGCTTCTTCCTCACTGTACACGACTTGCTCCAACAGTTTCTTTTCTAAATCGAGAATATGTGCTTCGTCTTGGCCCTCGTTCACATCAACCACTTCTCCACCAGATCGTAGACGTGTAACTCCTTCTTCATCACTGTCTCCACAAATGGCCTCGTGGTGGTCCAGGTCGAATCCAGAATTTTCCATTACTATCAAGTTAAATAAATCACTGTTGATAAAACCGCGTTTCCAGCAAAACAATGCGTCATCAAATTGAAAAACTATAACAAAAATGACATGCAACTAAAAACAACGGCAAACACTGTTGATCGTCAACAAGTTGTTCAATGAAAACAACGAAATACTCCAAAAACATGTTAAATATAATGAAACAATGCAAGTATAACACCCCCGAAATAACAAGATAATAGTGCAGGCAAAAGGATGCCCCCAGTTTTAGAAACCGAAAAGCAAATAAATGATTGCCTCATCTTGATTCTTGCATGAAATATTTGATGAAAATCAAAGCAAAGGAGCCTTTCAATCAGAATCGGTAAAACAATGCAGAAACTGAGTTTATTATTGAAATTAAGGAGTGTTTTTTATCTAGCATATTATCAACACTTTGAACCAAAAAAGGAACGATTTCTCGTATGCTTACGGGGAATCTGAAGAACCCTAGCATATATTCTTACTGCTAGAATTGGATATATGTTTACTCGGACATCAATTCGCTCAAAAATTAATTAAAAAACAATAAAAAGAAAAAGCGGAACTCACAGAAATAGTAATTTGATTTGGTATGGAGGAGAGGTCGCAACGGCGGGGGAATTCAGAAATAATTTCAGAGTACATCATCTACAGCCAGTGGGCTTTGTACACCGGATCTACCTAATTACCTCCCTATCGGGAATTTCTTTTGTCATTTGTTTTTTTGGTTAAAATATGGGTAGAATTTACACTTTTCGTCCTTATGTTTGGCATGATTCTACTCTTGGTCCCCTTAATTACAAAGTGAACACATTTTCACCACCGATGTCCAATTTTAAATACACTTGGTCACCTTCCGATTACATCTAAGGGAAAATACTATTTTGGAGCAAAAAAATGAAATTTAAAAATTATTTTGAGTTGGAAAACATTACAAATTTGAAGTATTTTTATAATTATTTTTTTAATAATATTTAGTATAATAAAAAGAAATTGAACAATATTTAAATTTCAAAACTAAATGAAAAAAAATAAATTAAATACAAATACATTAGATTTTATTTTCATAATATTTTAATTTTAACAAACAAAATGATATAAATGTAATAAATCAAAAAAGAAAAAAAAGGCAGCCAATATTTGCAATCTTAAAATTTCTAAGAGCAAGATCTTACTTGATGTAAGACTAAAATATAAATAAATTTACTAAGAACAAGAATGAAAACTATAAATATAACCTCAATATTGATTTTAATATTATTCATCAAGTTAGATCTAATTACTATTGCAAGACAGAAAAAAAAAAAAGAGGAATTGAAAAACGAGAGGGAATGCTCTAGCGGGAGAAGAGAAGAATATAAGGCGAGAATAGTTGATATATAATGATTTTGTAATGATATATATATATATATATATATATATATATATATATATA